AGATGGGGTCGTCCTGAAGGGACGCCCTGGTGGCTGCGGGGCATGGAAGGAAGCCGCCCCGGGCTTTAAGGCCCAGCCGCGGCCCGGGGTCGCCGGCCGGACCCGAAGGCGCCGCGGTCGCGGCCTGGAGCCGGAGCCTGCGCCACGAGGCCGGAGTCGCCGCCGCCCGCAGCCGCCGCCAGCCTTCATCATGCCGTGGCCGTTCTCAGAGTCCATCAAGAAGAGGGCCTGCCGGTACCTCCTGCAGCGGTACCTGGGCCACTTCCTGCAGGAGAAGCTGAGCCTGGAGCAGCTCAGCCTGGACCTGTACCAGGGCACCGGCTCCCTCGCCCAGGTCCCCTTGGACAAATGGGTAAGAGCTGCCGGCGGCCGGCCGGGCGGGCGGGCCTCGCTCCCCTCCGTAGGGCGATTTGAAGGGCTGTCATCCCAAAATTGGTGACATTCGTCCTCTCCCTGGGCAGTGCGGCGGGGCTCAGATAGCCGTGCGGAAAGGATTGCTTCATCTCTTTCTAGCAAGTTTGCGCCCTCCCAACACGTGTTCCAGAAACGTAACCGAGACACTGGAGTGTGCACGGTGGGAACCCGTGGGGTCAGTGGCTGAGGTCCGGGAAGGGGTCCCTGGAGGGAGGTGACCGTCCTGCCCTCCGAGCGAAGGGGTCGCGGGGGTTCAGTGGCAAACGGACCCTGTTTCATGGATGACACTCGGAAGCGGGAAGGATGGGAGGACCTTGGGGATGTCAGCACTCCCAGGCTTTCGGTCATGTGTTGGGGGTCGGCTCCTCGCACAGCGTGGACTCGGAACCGCGTTTACCACCGGGAGAAAGTTGGGTGAAGGCCGCCCCCGCGGGTTTGCCTGCCTTTGCTTGTTGACATGGTGCAAGGCCAGCCTGTGAATGGCCCTGGGAGCGCGGGCGGTTTCACGTGACCGAGCGTCAGCCAGCGCAGGTGTTGCAAAAGCGCTGAGGCTGCGATTCTCAGGCATTTAAATCCTTTTTCTTACCTGCCATCCGGAGGCTGTGAGGCGACTCCTTGTGTCCTACAGGTGCTTCAGGTATACTTCAGCTCAGCACGGACAGTTGCACTTGCATTTGAACGCTCACTGGGTAGTGCTTTGCTTAAGTACACGCCGCCTTGGGTTTGACAAGTGGCTTCCCCTCCCCCCCCGGCCATTTATTTACTGTGCTGGAGTTCGCTGCTCACAATTTGAATCGGTTGTGCCGTTCTAGAGTTTTACTCTTCTAAAAGCAATCCTAAGCAGTTTCCATGTAGGACATCATAAGTGTAGACGACTTTCCTGCGATAGTTGTGCAAGAACAAAAGGAAACTTTTTTTTCTCCTAATTTAAGCTGTGTAAAAAGCTTTGGTTTTCCCTTTTATGTAAAAGTATTTTAACAAGCCGAAACCGGTTTGGCTCAGTGGATAGAGCGTCGGCCTGCGGACTGAAAGGTCCCAGGTTCGATTCCGGTCAAGGGCATGTACCTGGGTTGCGGGCACATCCCCAGTAGGAGATGTGCAGGAGGCAGCTGATCGATGTTTCTCTCTCATCGATGTTTCTAACTCTCTATCTCTCTCCCTTCCTCTCTGTGGAAAATCAATAAAATATATTTTTTAAAAAAAGTATTTTAACAAAGTAATGACTTCTTAGCCATAGAAACTTGAAAAGCTCAAATTATGGTAATTCTGCATTATGGCCCTTACATTGATTTGCACTAGCATGAATATCCGTAACTAGATGATTTAAACTAGGGAGAGTACATAGGATAATGGGAAGACCCAGGCCCACACCAGGCCAGCCCAGCTGCCACAGTTGGCCTATTGAAATTGGACATAGGAACTCACCTGAGTGCAGTCAACATTAATGGAGTAGCTATACACTCCATGCCAGGCACTGTGGCAGGGTACTGTACTGCTGTAATTCTTACCAGAAGATAGGGATTATGGTGGATATTTTAAAATTCAGTGACCCATAACAAAATAAAATAAATTTAACGACCCATGAGTCTCTACTTTCAGTACAGTTATGAATAGGCTATCTTGAAGGAGGAGGGTTGGATATTTACTAACTGTCTTTTGTGGGTTGAATGATTTTGTATACATTATTCATTAATGACTTTTCACATTAACCTTATAAGGTGGGTATTATTATTTCCATTTTACAGATGGAGTTAAATAATTTTCCCCAAGTGACACAGCCAACAAGTGGTACAGTGAGAATTCAAACCTGTCTAATTCCTAAGGCCATTATTTCTTTATGAATCCGATGGCTTCAAAGGAAAGTAAATGTTTATTGAGCATCTTTTGTATTTAAGACGCTATGCTAGACACTCTTAATTTGTGTGGATTATGTAATCCTCATGGGAAATCAGAGGTGGTGATATTTGAATTTTACAGTTTGACTTCAGGATCATTGGTAGAGTGATTTATGGCTAGACTTACTCTGAATATTTTTTGTCCTATTCCTTGAAGGTGAGGGATATGCCCAGCCAAAATGATAATGTCAAAGCATCCAGTAAACATTTGTTGCTGTTAATTTATTTATTAATTATAGTGTGTTCTGTTGATGATAAATCTTTTTTTAATAAAGCTATTTTAGCAATCACTCTTTTTAAAAAATATATATACTTTTATTGATTTCAGAGAGGAAGGGAGAGGGAGAGAGAGATTGAAACATCAATGATGAGAGAGAATCACTGATCGGCTGCCTCCTGCACACCCCACACTGGAGAGTGAGCCCGAAACCTGGGCATGTGCCCTTCACCGGAATTGAACCCAGGACCTTTCAGTCCACAGACCAACACTCTATCCACTGAGCCAAACCGGCCAGCGTTGTTGATGATAAATCTTTATATGACACTTAAATATAGCTATTCAAACTTCTGATTCCAAATTCAGTTACTTTTGACACTTCATTCAAATGACTCATTACTGAAAAAAAGATACCTCACAGAATCATAGATACAAATGGAAGAATTGCATAATTGGTGACATCACTAATGTTTCAATTGCCAACCATTAATTATGCACAGGGTTATGTTGAAATTGGCAGTGACATTCCCTTCTTCCTTGGTCTCAATCAGTTATTTTTGCTAATTAATTGGAAGGTGATATATATATATATATATCTTCAAAAAACTTTTAAGCAAGACTTTTAGATTCATTGGGATAATTCTCCATATGTTCAAACCTTTTATAACTTGTGTAGATAATGACTTTAAAAAAAGATACTATTTTTAATAGACATTATTTCAGCAACAAAATCATGTAACAATAGAGACATTTCCAAATACAATTTTTCAAAACATTCTCCTCCTAGTACAAGTATCCTTTGAAAAGTAGTTACTTTCTCACTCATTACTAAAATGGTATCTGTACTTTGAAAATATACAGTATGTTTTGTTTTTTGGAATATACCTGCCTGGTAGCATATACTATTGATAGCTATTTGTCATCACATAAGTGATCAGCATATTTAGAATTCTTCTGTTTATACAGAAGAAAATTGCTTTTCATCTTTAAAATCATCTCTTAAATATTTGGCCATAAGTAAAGCCAGGAAATCAGAAAGTTATTGTCACTTTCTGTCTTTTTACAAAGATTCTGTTGCTTAAAAGTCTGTTTGGGTTTTTTTTAATCCTTACCCAAGGATATGTTTTTGTTTTTTCCTTTTAAGAGAGAGAAGAAGGAAGAGAGAGAAACATTGGTTGCCTCCAACACAAGTCCCAACTGGGAATCAAACCCACTACCTACACATGTGCCCTGACAGGGAATTGAACCCACAGCCTTTTTGGTGTATGGGATAATGTTCCAACCAACTGAGCCACCCGGCCAGGGCTACAGGTCTGTTTTTATTGTGCAGAATGATGCTCAGGTAAGTTTCAGTGTGTTGGAATGGAACATCCAACTGAGGGCACCATTCTGAACTCTTCCCCATTGTGGAACTACTGGTCTTTCAAAATGTATATATATATATATATATATATATATATATATATTTTTTTTTTTTTTTTCAGAGAGGAAGGGAGAGGGAGAGAGAAATAGAAACATCAATGATGAGAGAGAATCATTGATCGGCTGCCTCCTGCATGCCCCCTACTGGGGATCAAGCCCACAACCCAGGCATGTGCCTTTGACCAGAATCAAACCTGGGACCCTTCAGTCCACAGGCCCATGCTCTATCCACTGAGCCAAACCTGCTAGGGCTGGTCTTCTCTTTGTACCAGTCTGATATATGGCTGGAGTGAGGGTGCCAATGCCCTTTGTATAAAAATGTGAAAAATTTAATATAGAATGTCTAATTTTTCTACTCACATCTCTATTGGATCATCTGTTATCTCTGGGATAGATACATTTTAGAGACTGCTAACTTCAAGGAGCTTGAAGTGGGAGGGAGGAGTTCATGAGTTCTTTTCTCCTTGAAGTGGTCAAAACGCTATATAGTATTGGATTTGAGGAAGAGTTGGGAAGATTTGGGAGTTATCAGAGTATCAGTGGTAACTGAAACACTGGAATGGCATAAAGTGCATGGGCAGTTGTAGATTAGTTGAGAAACAAAAAAAGCTGAAGATACAACTTAGAGGAGTATCATCATTTTAAGTGGTAAAGAATTGGAAAAAAGACTCAGCGTGAAGCATGTTATGGAAGCCAAGAAAAGTTAGAATTTCAAAATAGGAATTAGACTGAGATGAGTATTCAAGGAAGATGAGGACCGAACATTTTTCATTGCATTTGTCAGTTTATTGGCGGTTAAGAGCAGTTTCAAAGGAGCTGAGTGTTAGAAGGCAGATAGTAGTTTGTGGTTTGAGAAAATAGCTCCCTTGACGAAAGAAAGAGAAATGAGGTTGATGACTAGAGGGGCATGGCATCAAGAGGGGATTTTAGTTCGCTTTTGAAGATAATAGTGACCATTTATTTCTATATATATATATATATATATATATATATATATATATATATATTGGGTGCTTTTATATAAATTTTCTTTTTCTTTTTTTAATTCTCACCTGAGAATATGTTTTATTGATTTCAGAGAGAGAGGAAGGGGGGAAAGGGAGAGCAAAAGAGAGACAGAGAGAGAGAGAGAGAGAGAGAGAGAGAGAGAAAACCATCCATCAATTGCTCCCCAACTGGAGATCAAACCCGCAACCTAGGAATGTGCCCTGCCCAGGAATTGAACCCTCAACCTTTTTGGTATAAGGGATGGCACTTCAACCTATTGAGCCACCTGGCCAGGGCTCATTCTAAATTTTTAAAATAGTTATAAGCTTGAGAAACACTGATGTCTTAACTAAGTGGATGAGAACTGAAGGGATTTGCAGTAGCAATATCACTTAGTTCTTTGATTTTCTTTGGTGTCATGTCAAAAATATGTATCAGACAGTGAAAGACCAGAAAACTTAAGTTTCTGGCCCTGCCTGGAGATTTTTATACACTATGTAGTGTATAAGGGAGGATTCAGGAAGGTAAAGGGATAGGCCTGTTTTGGCTAAGTGGGAGAAGTGAGTTACACGGAGGGCTATGGGAAAGCAGACCCAACTTGACGTCACTGCTGTAAGTACTCTTCCGAGGAAGGTCAGTTTGGGGAAAGAGTATCTTTATAGAGTGAGGATCTGGGTGTTTGTACCTTGAGACCACCCGTGCCCATGTACTTTTTAGAAAGTCTGGATGATTACGCAAGCCCCAGCATGAAGAACGCCTTTCAGGAGAAACCTCTGGTAAAACAGGAGCCAGTCTCCGTCTCACTCAATATTCAGCATTAGGTTTGTAGACAAAGAATTATGACTCCACCCTTATGCAACATGGCCTTCAGGAAGTACCCTACATAAAACTGGCATTTAGTAACTTTTATTCTAATTTAAAAACACATTGTCAGAAACGCATTTAATTATTCTGCTAACTGTATTTACATCCATTCTGTCACCCTTCTGTTATAATCTAGCTTGCCTCCCCACTCTATTGAAATCCCTCTCAATGGCATCATCTGTACCCTAAATACCACTTACCTAGTAAAGTCCAGGGGACACTTAAAAATCTTTGACTCCTTTTTAGCTGTTGCTGCACTTGCCCACTCTTTTCTTTCATGTTGTCTTTCCATGATTTTCTGGAAAATGAAGCTTTCTTGATTTCCCTTCTCCTCTCTGCCTTTTGCAGGTTCCTCTTTCTTAACGTGTTTCTTAAATATTGGTGTTTACCAGGGTTCTGTCCTAGGCCTCTAGTTGTTTTCCTCTACATAAGTTCCTAAAGGTCGTCTCTCCTCACCCCCGTGGCGTCATTTACCCTCTGTGTTCACAATGCTCTTCTCTGTCTCCAGCCCAGATGACTCTCTCGAGCTCTAGACCGGAATTTCCAGCTGCTTCCTAGACATCTCCACCTGGATGTCTGCTCACATGTGTTCTTTGGGACTGACCTCCTCATCTGTCGCCTAACCAGCTTCTCCAGGTTTCTCTGTCTAGTAAATGGCACCACTGTTTAAGCTGTTGCCCAAGCCAGCACCCGGGAGTCATTCTTCGTTCCTCCTGATGGCAGTTAACTTGGCTTCCTAATGTATTACAACAATCCGTCCGCTTCTCACTGTCCTCAGTGTTGCTGTCCTTGCCAAACCAACTTCTCTAGCTTCTACTCATCACGACCGTTCTGTCGGAGGTTTGCTTTCTTCCAATCCATCCTCTACCTGGCTGCAGGGGAGGCCCTCTAAACGTTCTAGTCCCGTCATGGCATGGAAACTCAAAATCTGTCAATGGTTTCACCTTGCCTTTAAGATAAATTTCAGACTCTAACATGAATTACAAGGTTCTTTGGATGCCCCTCTCTCTTATCTCTGTAGCCTTATCTCTGGCTCATCACCCTGACACAGTACACTAAAGCTACAGCAGCTTTTCTCTTCAGATACTCTTGCATCTCAAGTATGTGTGCTTGCCTTCTCTGACCTCTGCTTTGTTTTGTTTTTTAATCCTTCCACATGCCTTTGTCTTTGCCTGGAACACTTTGCCTAGTTACTCCTCAGCCTTCTCGTCTCAGATTTAACTAGCACTTCCTCAACTAGCGTGCCTTGAATCTCCAGGTTAGGGTCTTTACACGCTCAAATAGCACAATGCATTTTCTCTGTCATGTAACTCATCTCACTTTTAAAAAATAATATATTTTGCCCTGGCTGGTTTGGCTCAGTGGATAGAGCGTCAGCCTGCGGACTGAAGGGTCCCAGGTTCGATTCTGGTCAAGGGCATGTGCCTTGGTTGCGGGCGCATCCCCAGTGGGGGTGTGCAGGAGGCAGCTGATCGATGTTTCTCTCTCATCGATGTTTCTGACTCTGTCCCTCTCTGTAAAAAAATCAATAAAATATATTTAAAAATAATATATTTTTATTGATTTCAGAGAAGAAGGGAGAGAGAGAGAGAGAAACATCAATGATGAGAGAGAATCATTGATCGGCTGCCTCCTGCATGCCCCACACTGGGGATTGAGCCCGCAATCCGGGCATGTGCCCTGACTGGGAATCGAACTGTGATCTCCTGGTTCATAGGTCGACACTCAACCACTGAGCCACACCTGCTGGGTGCAACTCATCACACTTTAATTACGTGTGCGTTCCATGGTAAGTTATCTTTGTAAGCTTGTGAGGACCAGGGATCGTCTTTAACTAGGTGTCTGCTTCCTTTATCCTAGTGCCTGACACATGTATGAGCATATTCAGCATCGGACTGCGTTAACAATTTTAAGTTCTCGTGATTTAAAATTGCCCTTGGTTTTTCTCTTCAGTGCCTCAATGAGATCCTGGAGTCAGCAGATGCGCCTTTAGAAGTCACTGAAGGATTCATACAGTCAATTTCTCTGTCAGTTCCATGGGGCTCCTTGCTACAGGATAATTGTGCACTGGAAGTGAAAGGGCTAGAAATGGTCTTCCGACCTAGACCTCGCCTAGGTAGGTGTATCTCATGTGTTCTATTTTATTTTATTCTATTGAGTGTTTCTATTTTATTTCCCAGAGATTGGGAAAGTAATCTAATTGCATTATATTCAGTATTTAATTTATGACTTTGCATTGTATTTGTGAGATAGATAAAATGGGTCGGTGTAGGGTGTGTGTATGTGTGTGATTGTATCTTTAATGTTACTTCTCTGCCTATTTACCCACAGGAACTTTAGTATGTAGATGGTTGATGTAATTATTTGTTACCAATTACTTACTGTATTCTAAAGATTCAAAGGACTGTGCCAGAAAGCAAGGAAGTGCTCAAAAATTGTGGAGAATTGTTAAAAGGACACAAGATCAGGCTTGAAGGGGCTCCCATTAGCCAAATCTGAGAAAGCTTGAGTATCAAAAATAATGAAGACAATAATGAATTATAACATGCTAAATTAAAAAAATGCCCTAAGTCCATATTGATGCAAATAAATAAATATGTAATGGGGACAGGGAGAAGGGAAAGATCTTTATTGCAGTAGAATACCTACTTACGTATAAATAACAAAAATAGAATTCACCATTCTTTTGGCCACCATAGTAAAAATTGATACAGAACAAAATCATCAATGAATGCTAATACCATTTAGTGAAAGGTTGTTGAGGAGTTTAATATTTAGACAGTATCAAATTATCTCCCACTGATTTGTAGATTCTTCTTCTTAATCCTCACCAAAGGTTATGTATAGAGAGAGGAAGAGAGAGAAACATCCATGTGAGAGATAAACATTAATCGGTTGCCTCCCTTAAGCGCCTTGACCAGGGATTGAACCTACAACCTAGGTATGTGCCCTGACCCAGGAATCGAACTTACAACCTTTTTGGTGTAAGGGATGATGCTTCAACCAATTGAGCCACCTGGCCAGGGCTACATATTTTTTACAAAGGGTAAACTTACCTTTATGTTGGAGAAAATTGACAGGCACCACCAAAAATAACTGACTGCATGTGTGTCCTGATGTAATCAACTGGGAAGGACACACATCAGTGTTGTACTTACTGTTCCTGCTAAATTATAAAGCAGCAGTCAGACACATCCAAAGTAAGGGAAATTTTATAAAGTAAATGGTACTGTTAAAAATGTCAGTGTAATGGAAGACAAGAAGGATGGAGGAACTGTTCCAGATTAAAGGAGGCTAAAGACATGAATAACTAATTGCAGTATATAATCATGTCTTTGTTTGTTGCTATGAAGGATGTTATCGGGGTAGCCGGGAAAATTTGGGTATAAAACATAAGAGTATTATATATTAAAGTTATATTTCTTGGGTGTATTTTGCAGGAGGATGTTCTTGTTCTTAGGAGTTACATGCTGAGGTATTTAGGAGTGAGTGTTATGATGTCTGCAGTTTATCTTCAGATAGTTCAGCAAAAGTATGAGAGAGAGAGAGAGAGAGAGAATAGAATCTTGATGAATCTAGGTGAAGGGCACACAGGTGTTCATTGTACAATTATTTCATCTCTTTCCTAGGATTGGGTAAGTGGGCAAAAATTTTTGGAAGGAAAAGCTTTAAAGTTGTAATTGTTTACAAGTATATACGTGTGGTAGCTTTACTTGCACATGATGTTTTCTGACTTAAGCATATATAGTACCTCTGGCATGCCAGATACTATACTTAGTGCTTTACAAATATTATCCTCACAATAGCTCTTTGAAATAGATATTTTTTATTATCTTTATTTTGCAGTACAGGTAATTGAGGCCTATATAAGTTTAATAATTTGTCCAAGGTCATAGCTAGTTAAGTGGAAAAGAGAGGATCTGAACTTAGCCAGTCTAGTTCTGGAGTCAGTGTTCTTAACCACTATGCTATGTTGTATCTCAGATTTTCTACTACAAAGTGTGTATTTATGTGTGTGTGCGCATTTTAAGAACCAGTTAAGTTACAATGGTAAGTCATCTTAAATTATGAACTTAAATTCCTTTTTTTTCAGTGACAAGTGATGTTTTTAAACATATATTTGAAGAATTATTTCCAGTGCTGTCTGAATCACCAAGTTTAAATTATGCTTAGTAGAATTATAGTGCCTGTATTTTGAAAATTAGTAATCTGTGCATGGAAATCCTCCTTAATAACCTGGTATTTAATTAACAAGAATATTTTATCTTTTAACTATGAGTACATATAATAATACTTTCTGATGGAAAGTCAAATATTTTCTCCTTACTTTAAAACTGTCCTATTAGAAGGGCTTTTACAATTGATTTGGAAGACAGTAATTCTAGTAATCTCTGCCCATTTGTTTTGAATAACAAAAGAAAGTGTGGTGGAATTCTCTCATGAGGGGAAGCGCTGGAAAGGATTTTTCAGTTCATGTGTTTCTTCCTCAAAGGTTGCTCTTTTGTTTTATCTACATTTATACTAACCCTCTAAAGCCTACATCAACTCTGCCTGTACCTGTTTTCCTGTTAATTCCCTCAGCTAGAGAAATTCACCTCTTAGTGGTCATAATGTTTTCTGTTGAAACTTAATAGTTGTACTAATTCTTTTTAATCTTATCTCATTTCTTCTATTATGCTATAGGCTCTCTGAGGGCAGAATTAATAATTATTTTATTTTTCTACTCCTATTGGAGATCAGTTAATTAAGGCCGGCAGGCCAAATCTGGTTTTTGTAAAAAAAATTTTATTGGAACACCAAAATACTCCTTCATTTATTCATTCTCTCTGGTTGCTTTTGTACTGGAATGAAAGAGTTGAGTAGTTGTGATAGAGACTACATGGCCCCAAAAGCCTAACATATTTACTATCTGACTCTTTACAGAAAGTTTGTCAACTCCTGCTCTACAGTATTTTGAACAGCTCATGGGTGTGTAAAATACCCACTGAATGAGCACATGAATTAATATTTGGCAAATATATATCATGTACTCAGAGCACATGTCTCTGGACTTTTACTATGATTTCTCCCCCCCCCCCCCCCCCAGTCATTATAAGATGATGTTTAAATCTAAGGGGTAATTCCTGTAGAATATTGTATCCCTAGGTAACACCTTGATGCTAAATATCTTGTAGAGGATTAATAATTTATCTACTTGAAATGTGTTATTTTAAGAAATGGCTTGTGGTAACTATGAAAAATTATTCAGGATTAATCTATATTTTCTGCAGCAACTGGATCTGAGCCTATGTATTGGTCAAGTTTCATGACCAGCAGTATGCAGTTGGCGAAGGAATGTCTTAGCCAGAAACTAACAGATGAACAAGGAGAAGGATCCCAGCCTTTTGAAGGACTTGAAAAGTTTGCTGAAACCATTGAAACAGGTTTGGTATTATTGAGTATTTTTTTAAAAATCGAGATTTCATTTAGTATCTTTGTTTAGTAAGCCTTGTATAAGGAAAAGTCATTGAAGTGACTTTTAAATGAACTGCTCTCCCTTCAGAACTTTAGAATTGGGATCATTTAAACATTGCATTCCATTTAGTTTCATGTTCTTTGTACTTCTCCCTGGGTTTACTTCATTATGCTTAGAATTGGGTCTGAATTCAACAGAGAGTGTCAGTCACTGCCCCCAGTGTCCACGAGATGTAACAACGGGCAAGTGCTCAGAACTCAAGAGTTTGGGATTTTTAAGGAAAGGAATTCAATTTTATTTTGTAAGTTTATAGTAAACAAATTTAGTATTCTTTCATTCGAAGTTTTTGTCTCTTATGTTGATGGTTATCTATTTACTTTAGTACTAAGAAGAGTAAAAGTCACTTTTATAGACACCGTCTTGAGAATTGAACATGTGCCAGAAAACTCCAAAACTGGAACTGCACTTGAAATTCGAATAGAAAGGTAAGACCTTTTATACCTGGGAAAATATGACCCTATTCTGTTTTTTTAATGAATAACATACTCTGACTCTTATTAGACTTCAGAATGCTTTTGGAGGTGAGAAGTAATGATATTTAATTAATATATTGCGTAATTTCGGAGTAAAGTGTTGCTCTCCAAGCTATGTTCCAGTCCCTTTATGGAAAACGTAAAGTACCAGTTGGGGTATAATTATATATAATACTATGTCGAATTCAAAGCAAGAAATTCTCTTTTAGTTGCTGTCAAGTCAAAACAGTGTGCTGCTAAGCGTGAGGCACTCCCGCTGGGGAGTGTCAGGTTTTGCACATAAGCAGTGCACTCTAGGTGTGTCTCATTAATGTGAGCAGCAGTTTTGCTGCTTTGCTGAGAAAGGCTAAGACTTCTGTTTTCTTTGAGGATTCTGTGAGGGTATTATAAGGTCAACATGTGTAGTAGTGATTTATGTAAACAGATACAAACATCGCTTTTGGTTTTCTGTGGATGCCCACTTGGACCCAGTAAATAGTTCTCAGCAGGGATTGACTTTATATCTCATGGGTGTTGATTAGAGTTACTGACTGTTCACTGTGTCTTAGTGCCATGAGAACTGCCCACAGAAATAAGCAGAATGAAGTATGTACACTGAGCTCCAACAATACTTGTATATGGATCTGTGGGGGACCTTTGCCAAATTTTAAGCAGATAAGTTATGGGTTCTGTCTTTTCACAAAACATACCTATCAGTTATTGTTCAAAGATTTTTGAAATTAGGTTGCCCTACCTTAAATAGTATGTTAAATAATATCTAAAATCTCATACATTTAGAACTACTTCCCTTATTTTGATTAAACTGAAGATTAGTCAAGTATTTATAGCATAGTCATAAGAATTCAAGACACGCCGAAACCGGTTTGGCTCAGTGGATAGAGCATCGGCCTGCGGACTGAAAGGTCCCAGGTTCGATTCCGGTCAAGGTCATGTACCTGGGTTGCGGGCACATCCCATGTAGGAGATGTGCAGGAGGCAGCTGATCGATGTTTCTCTCTCATCGATGTTTCTAACTCTCTATCTCTCTCCCTTCCTCTCTGTAAAAAATCAATAAAATATATTTTAAAAAATAAAGAATTCAAGACAGGTCATTTATGTCAGGCTTTTGACAGGGAGCCAGATGCCGTTTCACTGTTCTCCAGAGGTGTTTGGAGGGTACTCAGGAACTGTTCCTTGAAGCTAACTTTAGAAAGTTATTGATGTCCCCCCCCCCCCAAATTTAGGAGCCTCATGAAGTTATCCTTACTGGGGGGGTAAGGTCTCCTCATGAAATATTTACTGTGGTAAAGCATGGTAATGCTGACCCACATTATAGACACATCCTATGGTGCTAACACTTGAAAAATCCCTTTAACTTAAAAAGCTGTGTGCATTTCTTATCATTGCAAGTACGTTTTCCTAGGAGTTTTACGCGAATGCCCTTTTTGGCGTTAACTTTCAGAACTGTATACTGTGATGAAACTGCAGACGAGTCCTCAGGAATTAACGTCCATCAGCCTACAGCTTTTGCTCACAAGTTACTCCAGCTCTCTGGAGTGTCTCTCTTCTGGGATGAGTTTTCTGCATCAGCAAAATCTTCCCCAGTGTGTTCAACTGCACCAGTGGTAAGGAAAACAAAACCAAAACTACATCACAAATTTTTCAAAGGTTTAAGTGAGAGCTATTTTGCTAGAATATATAATGTGTTAATGAGTTTCCATCTGATCTGGAAATTAACACAAATATTGAGTAATGGGGACATATTTCAGAGATTTTAAAACATTCATATTTATAATTAACTAGAGGCTGGGTGCACGGAATTTGTGCACTTGCGGGGGGTGTCTCTCAGCCCGGCCTGCTCCCTCTCACAGTCTGGGAGCCCTCAGGGCACGTCCGACTGATGGCTTAGGCCTGCTCCCCCGGGTGAGGGGGCCTAAGCCAGCAGTTGCTCCCCCTGTGGGAGTGCACTGACCACCAGGGAGCAGCTTCTGCCTTGAGCGTCTGCTCCCTGGTGGTCATTGCGCATCATAGCGACCAGTCATTTCTTCGTTTGGTTGATTTGCATATTAGCCTTTTATTATATAGGACTAGAGGCCCGATGCATGAAATTCATGCAAGAGTAGGCCTTCCTTCCACCAGCTTCCCTCTGGCACCCGGAACCCGGGCTTCCCTCTGGCTGCCAGCAGGCACCTGGGACCCGGGCTTCCCTTGCAGCCCCAGCTTAGTCCAGAAGGTTGTTCAGAAGGACATCTGGTCTAATTAGCATATTACCCTTTTATTATTATAGATGCCTTTCCTTTTTGCTATGTATTAATTAGGTAGAGTAACATTGGCTACTGTGTCTTGGGGAGCAAGGGTATATTAATAACTAATGTCCTTATACAATAAATGCAGGAAATCAAGCAATGTTCACATTTACCTTACATAGTGATTGTATTGCTGAAAATTTATCTTACAGATCATATCTTAAAAAAGTTTATAATTAAGGAGTTCTTTATTCCTCCTTTTATGTATCAAAATTAATTGTTCTATAATTTATCTTTTGTTAATTCACAAATCAGATTTTCTTAATTATAGATCATCTATTAAGTTTTCTTATTACTGTAATTTGAACAGATGCTGTGCTTTTTTTTCATAAAGTCCTTTTGCATTATTAGTCTTCATTACCAAGGTACTGTGCTAACATACAACTGTGCTTCAGACTAGCTATAAGATTCTGGTTTATCTATTGTAACGTAATACAGTTTTGCATGTCAAATATTTTCTTCTTAATTGACATTTGTATTTTGCAGTTTGATTTATTTACAGTGTACTTTATTCTTATCACCCTATTGTAGGAAACTGAGCCAAAGCTGTCACCTAGCTGGAATCCTAAAATCGTTTATGAGCCACACCCACAGCTAACTAGAACTTTACCAGAGGTAGCACCCTCTGACCCAGTGCAGATTGGAGGGCTAATTGGTAGGTTGGAGTTGAGTCTCACGCTGAAACAAAACGAAGTGCTTCCTGGAGCTAAGGTTAGTATTTGTTTTACTTTCTGTAGTAAGAAGTGAAATAAAACTACAAGTATTCTGTAGTCTCTCCAGTGACTCCTGATGGTTACTGTAGGTTATCCTGGAACGAGGGGACCCACTGTCCTGGAGTCAGCATTTTTGCTCTCAGCTGTGCCTATGCAAGTAGGTCACAAGTGCCTGTGCCCTCCTGCTGCTGCTCACACTCACTTTCCCCAACTCTCCCAGCTCAGAAACATTCATTGGTTCAGAGAACTAGGAATGGGCTATGCAAGAATACCTTTCTAGCTTCACAAAATAAAGTTTAAAGGAGAGATTGGAAAGCCAGCTGACTGAAGATGTTTAATTATATGTAAGAATATTCAGCTTATGCATATTTTTAACTGGATGACTTTTTATAGATGTATAATATTAATGAAAAGAGATTGATTTTTTTCATGATGTCTCATAGGTTTTTTGAAGACTGTAAAGACACTGTATTCGTTTCTTAGGGAACAATATTGAACAGTCTGTTGGAGAATCAGGAAACATACATTTATTCAGTCAGTCAAACATGTATTTGTCAAGTGCTATTTTCAGACTTTGGAAACACATTTTCTGTACAAGCTCTGTAAAATGTAGTTTCAATTGAGAAGATATGGGGACTTTCTCATTTGTGTGTTCACTGGTCTATCTTGCTCCAGATGTTTGAGTGACTGCTCTGTGCTAGCAAGCTCTTGAGATCAATGCAGAGATGAGTGGAACTCAGTCTTTGCCTTTTAATAAAAGCTATGCTATGGAGGATAGAAATTGCTGTGGAATGTGGAGGCAGGAGCCCCTGAGTACATGTGAATGTACATAGGAAGGTTTTCAGAGGATTGAAGGCTCGCGGAAGTCCTTCCTTGGATTGGAACACCTAACTGGAATTGGAGGAAGAAGAGGAGGGTAGTGATTAGAATGGCAGCACCCGTATTATTGGTTGTTCCCTTGCCTTCTGTGTACTGCTCTGTCCTACCTCGGATGATACGAAATCCTCTCATTAGGATTTAAGCCTCTTTATTAAATAGCAGGAGGGGAGTATTAATGCAGCAGAAAGCCATTGGTATGTGGGACACTGTAGGGAATCCCCTGCCTGGTAACATCCTTGGGAAACCAATACACACATGCCTCTGGGGAATTTTGCTGTTTTTCCAAGAAGGAAGAACCATCACAATTACTTTTATGGCTCTGTTCTGACTAATTACATATAGTCCTCAGCATTGGTATATTTGATATTAGTGTTAACTCAAACTTCTGCACGTTATGTACTGATTTGTATAAATGCCTTTCAGATGTTATTTTTGGTCATCTGTGTATTAGGTGACAAATGATACGGGGAACTTTTGCATGGTGGCATTGTTTGCCAGCCAGTATTTAATATTTGGAAATAGTATGCCCTTGCCCTTGTGTTAGTTTTTGTGTAATAACCGAGTATTTGAGTATATTTTGTTCTTATGTAATGAAAATGAATAGTAAATGGAAAAATAAAAGTTCTAGATTAGCATTGAGAAACATAGATCTCATAAACTTAATATAGACCAGATGGCATTAATTAGGGTGCTCAAAGTGTTGTATCTTTAGTCTCTTCCTGATGTTCATTAGACTTAAGTCTTCACACTGTGGGTTCAACATGTTATGAAAGATTTCATGTTTTTTAGTTCTGAGACTGGTGTCCACCTCAAATAGTGTAGAAGTTTGGTGTTTCTCATACTCAGTTTTAACATACGTTTCCAGGAATGCATTATATATGAAAACAGGGAACTGCCTGCCGCATTTATACACATTTTGTTTCAATTTCCATGTTACATTGAGTTTGAAATTTATTTTAGTGTTACATCCTATAGTTGTAATATGTTTTCAACACTAACAAATTAAAATGCAATTTTTAAAAATTTGGTATATAGTCAGAAAGAGAGTTTCCCCCACTGACCCCAGTCCGAACTTCTTGCTGATTTATGGCCTGCAATGTCAGCAGTCAGAAAGGAGCCCCATCAAACAAGTCCTCTGTTGACATAGGAAACTTCCAAACCTGTATAGAGTTTCTGAGTTTATTTGAGCCAAAACTGACAACAGTTTCCAGGAAGGGAGGTGTCCACTGCTCCTGAGAATGACAGTTTTGATCCTTTTGTTCGTTTGAAATTGAGGAAACAGGATTATATGAAGGTGGGGATTGGATTACAAAATAGTTAAGATTATATGCTCTCAGTAAAGAAGTTATATGGCCGGGCGTGACTACCCACCATGCCCTGCCAAGTTAGGAATTTATGATCAGTTCACCCTATGAGTTACTTTCTGTTGAACCCTTTTTTGTCCACACCTCTATGGACAGAATGGAAGGAATGGGGACTTTCCATCTGGGTCAGCACAGGTTACAATCCTGGCTCTGGCTCTGTTAGACAGCCTTGTGAAAATCCTTTAATCTTTGTGAGCCTGCTTCCTCATCTGTAAAGCAGCAGTAGTACTAAGAATTAGAGGAAATACAATAAAAACACCTAGGATAGTGCCCTGATACTAACAAAGGGAGATGATGATGATGATGATGATGATTAGGGAATTCTTTTTTTTTTGTTTTGTCTTGTTAATCCTCACTGGAGGATATTTTTCCATTGATTTTTAGGGAGAGTGGAAGAGAGAGGCAAAAACAGAGAGAAACATCAATGTGAAAGAAACACATCGATTGGTTGCCTCCTGCATGTGCCCTGATCAGGGTCTGGGCCAGTGAGGAGCCTGCAACCTAGGTATGTGCCCTTGACTGGAATCGAACCCTGGACCCTTTGGTCCGCAGGCTGACGCTCTATCCACTGAGTCAAACTGGCTAGGGCTGGAGAATTCTTGGTTAGATCATGAAAATCTCTCAAAATCAATGTGTAATTTTACTTTTATTTCTAGAATCAGAAGACATTTGTTTTTCTCTTGGGGAAGATGCCATTTTCCAAATATAAGTGTTTTTTTTTTATTGTTTGTTTTTTTAAATATATTTTATTGATTTTTTACAGAGAAGAAGGGAGAAGGATAGTGAGTTAGAAACATCGATGAGAGAGAAACATCAATCAGCTGCCTCCTGCACACTCCCCACTGGGGATGTGCCCGCAACCAAGGTACATGCCCTTGACCGGAATCGAACCTGGGACCCTTGAGTCCGCAGGCTGACGTTCTATCCACTGAGCCAAATCGGTTAGGGCCCAAATATAAGTGTTTTATTATAAAATTGCAATAGGAGTCAGTGTTTGCATTAGAACTAAAAAGAGGTGAATGAAAAGTAAGGCAAGTGTGTTCAACTCTTTAGAACGTGATATGTAGAGTAGAATAATTTTTTTTTCTTCTTCAGAATAAACTCCATAGAAATCAGGATGAGAGTGGGATGGGGCTTTTATTTTTAGAAGGAAAAAATAGAGAGCTGGAAAAGAGAAGGAAAGTCCACATAAGCATCCTTCTTCTATCAGCATTAAAAAAAAAAATTAGAGGAAGGGAGAAGGAGAGAGAAATGGAAACATCAATGATGAGAGAGAATCATAGATCAGCTATCTCCTGCATGCCCCCATTGGGGATCGAGACTGCAACCCAGGCATGTGCCCTGATTGGGAATTGAACCGTGACTTCCTGGTTCATAAGTCGATGCTCAACCACTGAGCTACACTGGCTGGACCTATCACCATTTCTGATGTGGCTTTCACTCCCATGCCCAGGCGGGAGTGGGCTTTGTGGAACGCAGTGGGCATTTGGAGAGCACACCATTGGCAGGAAAAGTTCTTACATGCTATACTAAGGAGTGTTATCTACAGGCAAACTCATGAAAGCCAACTTTATTTGCTCTTGATTTAAATCAAGCTTTAAGGATTATGATTGAGAGAGAAACATCAATCAGCTGCCTCCTGCACACTCCCCACTGGGGATGTGCCCGCAACCAAGGTACATGCCCTTGACCGGAATCGAACCTGGGACCCTTGTGCCCACATGATGGGAATGAATATTCTACTACTGCTGTCTTAACATTCTTTCTTGGAGACTATGTCTTAAGACCTCAAATATCTTAAATACTCAAAACTTAAGACAAAAAGTATGACATTGGACTTGCCAACATGGACTTTCTCAGGATGATTTTCCCTCATAGAACAAGTTTGGCAATCATTAAATCTTATACTGTAGATTGTGTGAATTAGTAGAGAGAATCTTAGGTGAAGAAAACCAAGACTAAATAATCAGTACCATCTCAGTGTATTAAAGTGTACTTGGACTTGTGGTGACAAGATTATAGACAGTGTTCATCCTGAATGTTTGTCTTTCTTTTTTTTTTGAAGTTGGATATTGATGGACAGATAGACTCTATTCATCTATTCCTGTCTCCAAGACAGGTACACTTGCTTTTGGATATGTTAGCAGCTATTGCTGGACCAGGCAAGTAGAACTCTGTTGTTACTATTTTTAATTCTTTAAAACTTTTTAGTTAAAATATACAACATACATATAGGGCATTCTCTTATAGAGGAATGTGTGAAATGTATTGTAAATAAGGAAGATGTATTGTAAATAAGAATTCAAAACAGTTAAACTTAATTGGATTATTTATTTACTTATTTTTTAAAAATATATTTTATTGATTCTTTACAGAGAGGAAGGGAGAGGGATAGAGAGTTAGAATTAGAATCATCGATGAGAGAGAAACATCCATCAGCTGCCTCCTGCTCACCCCTTACTGGGGTTGTGCCCACAACCAAGGTACATGCCCTTGACCGGAATCGAACCTGGGACCTTTCAGTCCGCAGGCTGACACTCTATCCACTGAGCCAAACCGGTTAGGACTACTTTTTATTTTTAAATCATTACCTGAAGGTATGTTTTTTATTGATAAGAGAGAGAGAGAGTGAAAAAAATCCATCCATGTGAGAAAGAAACATAATTAGTTGCCTCCTGTAGGTGCCCCTACCAGGTATTGAACCCTCAACCTACATATGTGCTCTGACCAGGAACGGAATCTACAACCTTTTGGTGTACGGGACGACACTCCAACCAACTGAGCCGCCTGCTCAGGGCTGATTGGATCTTTTAAATTGTGTTACCATGGCTCAAATTAGCATTCAGGTTATTTATGTCATCTTAACTTTTTATAAATTGTCTGGCTTATTTCCTTGGTTGGTGATAGTATTTCACACAACTGAGAAAGTATAATTCTTTAACACAGCAAGTAGCACACATTTTAAATGACTTATTTTTCAAAGATAAGATTTTTGAGATTTCTAACTATATGCTTGAAGTTATTGCTTAGATTTCCAGTTCATATAAAACAGGTGGTTTAGCACTGGCAATGCTATTACAATGCTGTGATATGAAGACTGCTGGGAAATGGAGTTAGTAATGAAAGAACAAAAGATCCTGTGAGAAGGGTTACATTTCTAAGTTGATCTAACCACTGCATTACAGTGATAACCACACCAGTGGTACATGTGCTATAGAGTCGCTCTTTGATTTTGTTTTATAAATCATGATTTATTCCTATGAAAGCCAGTTTACAAAAATGTGGCCATTGGTATTGGATAAGTGTGTTTTTGGAGAGAAATGATAAGTAACTCCAAGTTTAATTACTATTTTGCTTTTCTTTTTGTATACTTGTAGAAAATTCTAGCAAATTAGGTTTAGCTAATAAAGATAGGAAGAATCGACCCATGCAGCAGGAAGAAGAATATCGCATTCAGATGGAATTAAACCGCTATTATTTGAGAAAAGATTCCCTTTCTGTGGGTGTATCTTCAGAGCAAAGCTTTTATGAGTCAGAAACGGCTCGTACACCTTCTAGCCGTGGTAAGCAACTCAAAAGTTGACACCAGAATCATATGTTATCATCGTAGGGCAAAGTGAACTTAATTTTGGCTGTTGTAATATGGGGTTGAACAAAAAATCCTTATTGTAAGGTTTAAATTTCTAAGTTTAAATTTCTAACCACAGCATTATAGTGACATGCTACAGTATCATTTTTTGATTGTGTAGTTTACATAAATTATGATTTATTCTAAGGAAAGTCAGTTTATATATTTTTTTTTATTTATTTTTTTTTTATTTTTTATTTTTATTTTTTAATATATTTTATTGATTTTTTACAGAGAGGAAGGGAGAGGGATAGAGAGTTAGAAACATCGATGAGAGAGAAACATCGATCAGCTGCCTCCTGCACATTCCCTACTGGGGATGTGCCTGCAACCAAGGTACATGCCCTTGACCGGAATCGAACCTGGGACCCTTGAGTCTGCAGGCCGACGCTCTATCCACTGAGCCAAACCGGCTAGGGCAGGAAAGTCAGTTTATAAAGATATCGATTTACATGAGAACTAAAGGGGGGGTAATTCTTCATTTGTCAAATTCTTATGTGTTCACATAATGATTTATAGATTCCTTTAAATAGGAACCTTTCTCTATTAATCTATCAATTATATGTAAATATAATCTTTTTAAAAAATATCTTTATTGATTTTAGAGAGGAAGGGAGAGGGAGAGAGAGATAGGAACATCAATGATGAGAGAGAATCATTGACCAGCTGCCTCCTGCATGCCGCCTACTAGGGATCAAGCCCACAACCGGGCATGTGCCCTTGACCGGAATTGAACCCAGGACTCTTCAGGCTTCAGGCTATCTACTGAGCCAAAACAGCTAGGGCTTAGTATAATCTTTATTCAGTTTACTGGCATTTTGAGGTGTTTCAGAATGTATTAGTACTAATATCCAAAATAACAAGAATCAATTTAAGTATGGGATGTTGAACGAAATAGAAAATTGAAGTCAACTTAAGAAATGTTGGTTATAACATATTTTATTTGCACGAGGGTAAAACAATCTCCAGAAAGATAGAAGTGAAATGTAAATAAATTTGAAATAATATATGCAGCTCTTTTTTCTTTTTAAAGAAATAGCAGTATCCATATGATACCAGAGGTTGCAAGATATATATAGGGTGTCCCCTAAAAATGTATATACATTTTAACAGCTGACAGCTCAATTTTGAAAATAAAATATATTTTAATATACACTTTATAATTATTCAAAGTGTGTATATACATTTTTGGGGGCACCCTAAATATATATAATTTTAACTAAATTTTAACTTCTAATTTAAGTGTTAAATATAACACTTAAAAGCATACTAAGTAATATTACATATCTCATATATATATGTATATATATATATATAATATATTTATTGATTTCAGAGAGGAAGGAAGAGGGAGAGAGAGAGAGAGAAATATTGATGATGAGAGAGAATCATTGATTGGCTGCCTCCTGCACGCCCCACACTGGGGATTGAGCCCACAACCCAGGCATGTGCCCTTGACCGGAATTGAACCTGGGACCTTTTAGTTTGCAGGCCGACGCTCTATCCACTGAGCAAAACCGGCTAGGGCATCAGATATTTTTTAAAAAGTTCAGCAACAGTATAGCATAACCTTTGGTTGACCTATGTTCAGTTGAGTTTTTACTGTGCCATTTATGTCTTAGATCTAAATAAATTACCTCACTGGAAGTAACATAAAATTTAGGGTAGCCTATATCTCAGATAATCTGAAAGAAGAATACTATATTAAGTGTATATTAACTTAAAAGATGTAGATTTTTGGAATTACAATACAATTGACAAAGTTAATTCTCTTTAGAAGAAGAAGTTTTCTTCTCCATGGCTGATATGGACATGTCCCATAGTCTCTCTTCTCTTCCACCTCTTGGGGACCCCCCAAATATGGACCTTGAGTTATCATTAACTAGCACATATACAAATACCCCAGCTGGATCTCCCTTAAGTGCTACTGTGGTAAAGTATTATTTAATTTTTATTCTATTCTTGAAAACTTGCTTCTAAAATTCAATATTCAATATTTTATTCATCTGCTTTATACATTTCTTTTATAGCTTCAGCCAACCTGGGGAGATTTCCTTGATCATCATAAAGAACAGCCAGTAAGAGGGTCAACACTGCCATCCAACCTAGTTCACCCATCGTCTCTACAGAAGACTTGTAAGTGACAAATAAGATTGTTGTTGACGGTTTCTGCTAGGATTTTAAAAAACTTAAAATTAAAAAAAAAAATGCCAGCCTGCTTCTTTTCTTTTCCTTCGTATATATATATGAAGGATTGCTAAGCAACTCACTGTGAAGTGTTTAATATAGTTGCACATTTCCTGTATTCTTTGGGTACTTAAAAACTGAAGTATTTTTAGTAAAAAGTTCACCATAAATTTCATATTATTGCAGTTGAAGAGTCTCAACCAACCATCTGATTTTTGTTTCACTGTTTATACTTTCCTTGAAAGAGAACCTCAGGTTTATTCCCTGCAAAATTTATTTGGAGTAGAATACAGGCTTGGAGGAAAATTTAGTGAGCAGCTTGGGTTCATCTCTGACTTTTCCAGTACAGCTTTATTAATGCAAATCTTTGTTCATACATTTCCTATTGTAGCATACTTCTTTGTACTTCAGGTACCAAGGATCCTGCATGTGAAATGCAGAAAGATAACAGTTCATTTTATTTTACTTGTTTAATATCATTCAAACTATTGTGTAATCACCTGTTTTTGAAAAGGAATGCACGAATAAATGTCATAATTTTGATATAATGGATTGTTTTTAAGTGTTAAATTTTATGTGTATAATTTGAACACATGCATTTCAGCTCTCCCCTCTAGATCTGTCTCAATGGATGAATCCAGGCCGGAGCTCATTTTTCGACTAGCTGTGGGAACTTTGTCTGTCTCTGTGCTTCACATTGATCCATTGTCTCCACCTGAAACATCATTGAACCTTAATCCATTGACACCTCTGGCGATAGCTTTCTTTTCTTGTATAGAAAAGATAGATCCAGCGAGATTTTCAACAGATGATTTTAAATCTTTCAGAACAGTATTTGCAGAAGCTTGCTCACATGATCACCTTAGGTAAATGCTCTCATATTTATTAACAATTTTTGAAAAAGAACGAAAGTGGACTTTTGTTTTTATCTATCTACCTCACTCCATTTGTTTTTCTAATTCACATTTTATTTGTAAATGAGTGGAATGAGGGAGGTTTTCTTCCACTGCTGCAAAGATGTTTACCACAGACTCTCTCACTCAGGTTATTCAGATATAAGCTGTAGATAATCTGGAGTTTGGAGATTATCTTTTGTTTAGCTCCCTGCCCTGCTCTTGTCAAATTTCTTTGACCACATTATGCCATCATACCTACAGACACCATTACAATCATAAAAATAGTTATTCTTGTTACTGGCTTAGCAGAGATGGCAGTGGTGGTGAGAGTAGAATAAACTTATTAGAAGGAACTTGGAAATGATCCATATGCCACTGGCTATGAGGAAATGGTACTGAGGCTGGGGAGCTTGATGCTACATTTTCATCTTCTACTTAGAAAACTGTCCAAATAATCTATGATCTCTCCATGGGTTGAGTTCTAATAGATGAGATAATTAATTTGTAAGTATAGTATTGTTAATGTGTTAACATTACATACATATGTGTTACATACATATTTTATAATATTGTTCATGCTGTTTATTTTAACATGAAAGTGACCTGTAAGTTATCGAGTCGTGTTATTTAATACAATGATTTATACAATATATTAATGTTTTTAGAAAATATTTTGGGCTTTTATTTTAAGTAACTTTTTGAAGTATTAAAATTAATATGCAAATTAGCTTTTATATTTAGCAAAAGAAATTCTGCAGGTTAGAACCATTGTATCTATTTTTAACAAACTACACAAAAAACATCCATTTTTTTCTTCCTGTTATTTTTTAAAATATATTTTATTGATTTTTTACAGAGAGAAAGGGAGAGGGATAGAGAGTTAAAACATCAGTGGGAAACATCCATCAGCTGCCTTCTGCACACCCCCTACTGGGGATGTGCCTGCAACCAAGGTACATGCCCTTGACTGGAATCGAACCTGGGATCCTTCAGTCTGCAGGCCGACGCTCTATCCACTGAGCCAAACTGGTTAGGGCATGTTATTTTTTTTTTAAAATATATTTTTATTGACTTCAGAGAGGGAGGGTGAGGGAGAGAGAGTGAGAAACATCAATGATGAGAAAGTATCATTGATCACCTGCCTCCTGCATGCCCTCAACTAGGGATTGAGCCTGGAACCCGCGCATGTGCCCTTGACCGGAATTGAACCTGGGGCCCTTCAGTCCGCAGGCTGAAGCTCTGTTTACTGAGCCAGACTGGCTAGGGCTCTTCCAGTTTTTGATGAGGTTTCAAATATCTGTCAGTAGGAAATACAACAAAAGCAATAAAAACTAGAGGAATATCTTCATTTGAGCACTGAAGTTTTAAAAATATTACATGATGTTTTAGATAATTTTAAGAAACTATTACATACATATTTTATAGTTGTAAAGATTTTATCCACTGCAGTGTGCATTTTAAAATGTGGAAGGTGGAAGGGCGGTGTTGGGAAGTAAATATATCCTGGATAATTTCCTGTTAACCGAACTGGTTTCTTTATCTTATGTCAGGGAAATTTTAAATAATCTTTCTGGTTAATATCCTTAGGAATATTAGTTACAACTTGAATTTATCAGAATAGGTAGATCATTGTTATACTTCATTAATACTTGAGTACTGTTTGACACATTGTTTAATCTAGAATCCAATGCATACTCTCAACTGCTTCATGTCTTATTGTAGATTCATAGGCACTGGCATCAAAGTATCCTATGAACAAAGACAAAGATCAGCTTCCAGGTATTTTAGTACTGATATGTCTATTGGTCAAATGGAACTTTTGGAGTGCCTGTTTCCAACTGATTTTCATTCTGTTTCTCCTCACTATACAGAGGTAAATGCTAAGTACTTTCCCTTTATGATTATTCTTTAAGTCTGTCTTGCTCTTTAAGAATTGTATGAACAGAAGTGATTTTCTTAAGGGATAGGAAGTAATATAGGAAGAGGTGTGTGTGTGTGTGTGTGTGTGTGTGTGTGTGCGCGCGCGCATTTGTTTTAATGAGACAGATTTTTAAGTATGGCTTTCATGGCAATAAGAGTCTCTTAAAATGTTTGATTTAGAGTTGACAGGTTATGGGCAAATGACTTCATTTCACTCATTTTCTAAGCACTCTTAATTTCAGGAGAATTCTGTTCACCTAATAGCTGCTGTGTGCTAAGCACTGTTCAGTCACTGTTGAAGACAAGTGCAATGTCTTGGTTTATTTATTATTAATCTGTTGTTATTCCTATCCTAATAGTGTGTCCAAGAGAGACTTTTCTAAGCTATCAGAGTGACATTTGTTGCTTTTATTTTGCCCTCATGTACTTTTTGCTTCAAAGCACTTTCTTGGGCATTTATTTAGTTGAGTCCTCCCTACATTCTGTAGATGAGGTACTAAGTATCACAAAAGTTAACTAACCTGTCAAGATCCATATTGGTAGTAAGTGACAATGAAAACTTAAAGTTTCCTGACTCCAAAAAATTTTTCCCAATATTATGTTAGCACGTCTGTTAATTCATTTGATTAATTATAGCTTAATATCTTAACCTTTAATTTATTTTCATCTTTGTTTTTAAGCTTTTAATGTTCCATTCCAAAGAACGAACTGATTCCCACCCCCCTGTGTGTCTTCAGCTTCATTATAAGCATTCTGAGAATAAAGGGCCCCAGGTAAGAGATCTTTCTCTGTGATTACCACCTGTAAGTTTTTATTTGACATATATTTTGTCACAAAATGGAAGGTTTTAACTTAGTTTTATAGTATCATTAGTGATCATATTAATGCTTTTCTTCTTTTAAAAGGGTAATCAAGCAAGACTTAGTTCTGTTCCTCAGAAGGCAGAATTACAAATTAAATTAAATCCCGTATTTTGTGAGCTGGATATCAGTATTGTGGACAGATTAAATTCCTTGCTTCAACCACAGAAACTTACTACAGTAGAGATGATGGCATCTCACATGTATACTTCATATAATAAGCATATTAGTCTGGTAAGTAGTCAAAAGTTGCAAATGCTAATCAGAATTACTAATAAGCTCATAGGCTTATTTGGATCATTTCTGAACTTAAGTATTCTTAAATTAACATTATTGGTAATAATGAAAAATGGAGACGTCTTTTATGTCTGGATATTAGATAGCTAAATAAGTTTTGCTAACATACTGGGTGAAACTCTTTGCACCCATTTTAAATGATGGTTGTGAAGATGGTGCAGAATGTGAAGAAGGCTTGTGAAGAAGTAAACTTCCATTACAACGGTGTGAATAAAATTGATGTATAGAAAAAGAATGAACGGAAATACACCAGTTGGTAGTATTGATTTTGTTAGAGGAATAGAATTAGATTTTCTTTCCTTTTTGGTGTTATCTTAATTTTACAAACTGTGATTATAATATCTTCACAAAATTTTAGCTACTCACACATTTCACAAAGTACTTGAGCCACCTATAAAATGTAGCCCACATAAGATAAGATATACTTTTGAAAATGGGAACATATTTCACAGTGTTATTGGGCATCACATTATGTGACTTGTACTTAAATCTGGTTCCTGGTGTCTTTTCAAAAGCAAATTAAATAAGTCAGATTTGCAAGAAATCTATTAGGAATTTGGGAGGTGTAGGACCAGGAACAGAGATAACTTTGGTTGAAAAGAAAATATATTTTATTTTTTACTTTATTTCCTTCTCCCTCACTTAGTGATGGTATCAGATTAAATCAGCATTCTTTAATTTTTGTCACCAGTTGCTTGTTATTTTAAGTGTTGTGGGACTAATGTCTCTATTTGCTGTCAGCTATAGGTGTATTATTTTTGCTGAAGTAAGAGATAGAACTGGAATGTCAGATGGGGAGAGAAAGAATAGCTTTGTTAAAAATCCAACTCTAGCACCAAAGGGAACTTTATAATCTGGGTGGTTAGAGACTGATTCATGATAGTGCACCCTGGACTAAAGCTTTATCTTTCAATGCATTTTAGAGAAAGAATAGAAACAGGCTTTTATCTGAAGGGCATGTTCTTTGGACTTTTTACTATAACATGGCTGGAGTAAATGGTGCATGTGTATTTTGGTTTCTAAGAGCCATTTGTTGGGATCATGCCCTTGGGTTGAATGAGAACAGAGTGAGTCATTTACTGGATATTTATGTAGAACTTGTGATGTGCCAGGCTCTGGGCTTAGTCCAGGAAGTACAAAGACGAGTCAGGGATGGTCCTTTGCAATTGGCATACTTCGTCTGATTTCACGTTCATATTGAGTCTTTAAAGTAGCATATTTGTAGGTAAATCCTTCAAACTTAATACTGCGTACTATAGTGATTTTTAACTATTGAATTTGTTGATGAGCTAATTTACATGTTATTCTTTTTAAACCTGTAGTGAAATATATATCACCGTGTTTTCACTTTGGTTCAGCTTTTATTTTTATTTATTTTATATGAGGGTTTACATGTTGCCAGTATTCTGGTTTTTATCAATGGCTATCCTATCTAATAAAGAGGGAATATACAAATTGACTATCACACCATCACAAAGATGGTGGTGCCCATAGCCACAAGATGGCAGCGCCCAGTCCCCTCAGCCCCGCTGGAGTCCCCCAATCCTTTCAGTCCCGCCGGGGGGGTGGCAGGCACGCGGTGCGGCCAGACCCGCCCTCAGCCCCCCAGCCGCCGAGGGCCACCTGAGGCTCAGGTAACCAGGGCTGGCCAAGGCTTGTGTTGCCGGCAGTGGCAGCAGCAGAGGAGTGATGGGGCGTCACCTTCCCCTGATCGAAGGGTCCCCTCCTGCCCCTGAGGGCTCCCGGACTGTGAGAGGGGGCAGGCCAGGCTGACGGACCCCCCTCCAGCGCATGAATTTTCATGCACTGGGCCTCTAGTTGGATTATAAAATTTCATTACACTAAACTAATATGGTAGTGGTTATTTTGAATTGTATTTTAATGTACTATACTGAATGAGGAAATGTGATTATACTTATTGCAATGTTGAGTACTTGAATACTAATGTCACTTGTTTATTTACTTAATTTAACATTCGGCCTATATTTTGATGTTTTGTTTTAGCACAAGGCTTTCACTGAAGTGTTTCTAGATGACTCACATAATCCTGCTAATTGTCGAATATCGGTACAAGTTGCCACACCAGCATTAAACCTTTCTGTTCGTTTCCCAATACCCGATCTTCGATCAGATCAGGAAAGAGGACCGTGGTTTAAGAAGTCACTTCAGAAGGAGATTCTTCATTTAGCATTCACAGATCTAGAATTTAAGACTGAATTCATAGGAGGATCAACCCCAGAACAAATTAAATTGGAACTTACCTTTAGAGAACTAACTGGTAAGATTGCACGTGCCTGTAAAGGCACAGACTGTAAACAAACAGCTGCTGCTGAAGCCTAGAGCATTTAAAAGTATATGACAGCTGCAAAACATACAATTAAAAAACATAATGTTAGAGAACAAGAGTAACAACTTTTTCCCAGTATTGTATACAAATATGTAAGATAAGTCAGTTTTTTTAAATATATTTTTTTATTGTTGACAGTATTATAGATTTCTCCCTTTACCCCCTCACACACCCAGGTCTTTACCACTCACTGTGTGTCCATGGGCTATGCATATAAGTTTATAAGTTCTTTGGTTTCTCTCTCCTCATCCCCTCACCCCCACATTGAGTCTTTTTTTATGCCTCCATTGCTTCGGGTCCTATTTTGTTGGTCAGTTCATTTTGTTCATTAGATTCCACAAATTAAGTGAGATTATGTGATATTTGTCTTTCTCAGGTTGGCTTATTTCACTTAGCATAGTAGTCTCCAGGTCCATCCATGCAGTCCTGAAGAGATCCTCTTTTTACAGCTGCATAGTTTTCCATTGTGTCAATGTCCCACAGCTTTTTATCCACTCATCTACTGATGGGCACTTAGACAGTTTCCAAATCTTAGCTATTGTAAATAACACTGCTATGAACATATGAGTGCATATATTCTTTCTGATTGATGTTTTGGAGTTTTTAGGATATTTTCCCAGAAGTGGGATCTCTGGGTCAAATGGAAGTTCCATTTTTAATTTTTTGAGGAAAATCCATACTGTTTTCCATTCCCACCAGCAGTGAACTAGTGTTCCCTTTTCTCCACATCCTCGCCAGCACTTGCTGTTTGTTAATTTATTGATGATAGTCATTCTGACAGGTGTGAGGTGACATCTCATTGTGGTTAATTTGCATCTCTCTGATGATTAGTGACTGAGCATTTTTTCATATGTCTCTTGGCCATTTGTATGCCCTCTTTGGAGAAGTGTCTGTTCAGGTCCTCTGCCCATTTTTTAATTGGATTGTTTATCTTCCTTTTGTTGAGTTGTACGAGTACTTTATATATTTTGGAGATTAACCCCTTATCAGAATTATCATTGGCAAATATGTTCTCTTATACAATGGGTTCCCTTTTCATTTTGATGGTGGTTTCTTTGCTGTGCAGAAGCTTTTTATTTTGATGTAGTCCCATTTGTTTATTTTTTCCTTTGTTTCTCTTGCCCTAGGAGATGTGTTAGCAAAAATTCTGCTATGTGAGATAAGTCAGTTTTTGAAAAGAAATTACTAAGCATGATGATTTGTTTGCTTGGTTAAAATACTTTTCTCTGGGGGAATGTAGTGCCGGTGTCTACATCTTTACCACCAGCCATGCATTCCACTGACCTAGAGGGCTGCTAGCCAGAATTTGAGTACCACTCTGTGTCAGCAAATGCATTGAGCATTTCACATGTGTTATCTGTGTCCTTTAATCATCATAATCATGTAGGCTTATTATTCCCAATCATTTTTGTCATTTGTACGCGGGGAATCTGTAGACTTAAGTAGAAGGACCTTCTTAGGTCAGGTCGTAGTAAGTGGCAGCATCAGATTCAGACCCAAGTCTAACACTAGAGCTTGAGCTTTTTACCATCATGCTGCTCTCTCTCGTGACTTTCCTTTGTGAAACCTGTTTTAAGTTTTTCTGTATTTGCTTTTGTCAGTGTGTATATATATATATATATATACTTAGAGTGAATCGAGTCCATGAAGAACGCAGGATGGGTGATTTTGACGTTTTTTGGTGTTTGTTTTTGTGTGTGATTCCTTAACAACCTGCCTCTGTCACTACACCTCCCCTCTGCCACTCCACCCCTTCTCTGCTCACCTTCCCCCCACACCCCTTCTCTGCTCACCTTCCACTAGGGGAATAGGCTGCAAAGTTTCCCTTCCCTTCTCTCTGAGCTTGACACATTCTTAGAGAACTTTAAAACTGACTCTTGTCAATATGACTTCATGAAAGGGCCTTTAGGGGTTACCTAATATTTTCTTATCTCTAGTGGTAAGAGACTCATTATTCTGGAGGAAAGTCATTCCTTGTAAAATGGAATGAATAGACATCTATAGCGTTATTGTGAACAGAGGTAATTCTTACAGTGCTTGATACAAAAATCAACATTTAAGACATAAGTTACTCTGTGTTCCTAAATTAACTGCATAAACTTGTATGAACAATAAAATCACTCAGTGGCACTCAGTGGTACCTGCTGTATTTACTATTCATTAAACATTGGCACGTAGAATTTTGAGTTTGAATGGAAAACAGCATCTTTAATTTATTGCTCATTCTGTCTCCCAAGAAACATGTACACAAGAAATAGGAACAAATGAATAAATGCTGTAGAACTTAATGCTGCATATGTTTCTGATGTAGAGAATCTTTGCTCCCTTAAGGAGGACAGCACCTTTCAGCCCTTTGAGAAGACATGCATTTCGATTAATCAGTCTTGTTTTATTAGGGTCATTCCAGGAAGATAAAGGAGAGCCATCTGTTAAGTTTCTCCACGTGTCTGGTGGAGTAGATGGAGATACAACATCGTCAGATGACTTTGACTGGCCACGGTGAGTAAGCAGATGGATATGATACATACATTTAATGAGATTTTCCTTTAAAAGAATTACTATGCTTTTTTAAACCATCATTTTGGCTATTAAATTTAAGCTAAAAATATCCATCCTTGATGAGAAAACCCAGAGGAAGATGGACAAATGAAATAAAAAATGTATTTTGAGTGCTGTTTTATGAAAGTGTCTGTTAGGTACTGTGAGAGGTGGAAGCATAAGATGTGCTCTCTGGTCTAAGTGGAAGAACCAAAGAGTCATTGGCCATGTTAAAAATAGTTCAAGGCTGCAGTAGAAGAGATGTCCTAGGGCACCATTTGTTAGTCGTCAAGTGAACTTTATGGTCACTGATGCTTTGAGAGAGTGTTTTTCAAATCTGGGGGCATTTACAAAATCCTGGTTCTTGGGCCCCACCCTGGGATCCTTGGCTGGAGCCTGGGCATCAGTGTAGTTTAAAAGATACACCAGGTGATCCTAGTGTGCAGTTGGACTTAGAGAACCACAGCCTCAGGATCCCTCAGGCTGGGTGACCATGGGTTAGTTTAAATTAGCCTGATAGTGGGCTTGGATTATGTTTAAAATAACTTATTTACTTGAAATAATGACCCATTATGAAAAGGAAGTATTTGAAGCCTCGCTAAAGGTGATCTTTTTGGTGCCATTTTCCTTCCTGCCTTGTTTTACACCCCGCCACCTATGTATCAGACCTGTCAGACTCTTAGGACAGACATTACTAGTATCAGTACAGGCCTGAAAAGCCGCAGGAGCTTAGAGCATGAGTTTTCATCGTAAGAAATGGATCTACTTCAGTTACATAATTTGGAAGCACAATTTCCATTAGGATAACTATAAATTAAATAGTTGTGAAACTTTATAACTAGAACCAACTGGTACCACCTACGTACGTAGTAAAAAAGAAAAGGCCATTCTGGATGGGACACAGATGCCTGTCTTGCTTGGGGGGGCATGCCTCATCGTGACAATAGGCTGATGTGGTGACAAAGGAGAGACTGCACAGCCTTGTGCTGGTGATGGCCAGCAGAGAACACAATCCTTTTGTTATTGAAAATCCTAAAGGAAAGGTGACTTGGTTGTTGCAGTTCTGAAAATATTCCCTAGTCAATCTCTCCTCCATTTGAACATATTTTATGAACACAAGGTTTCCTAGGTATGCAAGTATTCCATAATGGCAAAACAGACTGCGTGCAGAATAATTAGGGTGAGTGAGAATAAATAGAATTCTTAGTGAAATTAAAAACAAATCTTTGTATCCTCAAAAGGTCAGATTTTCAGTTAGTAAGAATAACATGTTAATCCCTCTCTTTGGTTTACTTGTTTTATCAATTCTACATTCTAAAGTTTACAAGATACTGAGAAATGAGGTAGATTAGATATAATTAGACTTTGTAGACAAGGTGAATCCACCATTAATGATTCAGTCAGTGGTTTTTATATTAATTTACATAAAAGTTAAAGTTTTGCAGTTTATACATGGATCTTGATTTTTAAAATTGTCCTTGGTATCAGAATTGTATTGAAAATAAATCCACCAGCCATGCATTCCATTTTGGAGAGAATAGCAGCGGAGGAAGAAGAGGAGAGTGATGGCCACTATCAGGAAGAAGAAGAAGGCGGTGCTCACTCCCTGAAAGACGTGTGTGATCTGAGAAGACCCGCCCCCTCTCCCTTTTCTTCTCGTAGAGTAATGTTTGAGAACGAACAGGTAAACTAAAAGTGGGAGCAAGCCACGAAGAAATGATCCTTGATTATGTACTAATGGCTTTACTTCTTTTTCTTTAAAAAATACTTAGTATACTGTTTGTGCTAGGTTTTTAACTCCTTGGTTGAATCATATTTTTGTTTCCTCCGTGGTTAAAACGAAAAGTCACATGCTTATTTGCTGACATACCAAGTCCTCTGCTTAGAGTAAGAAGATGCAATTACTATTTTAAACATACAGTGGTTATTTAATGCATTTTTTTTTTTTTTTTACTAAACTGTCACTAAACTGTCATGTTTTAGATGGTGATGCCAGGAGACCCTGTAGAAATGACAGAATTTCAGGATAAAGCAATCAGCAATTCTCACTATGTCCTGGAACTTTCGTTACCCAATGTTCACATGACACTACCTAATAGAAGCTTTTATGAGAAGCTTTATAATAGGTGAGTGAAACACATTTGTTGAATGGGATGGATATTTTTGCCTGACTGCCCTTCTGCCTCCCTGCTCCCCTTTTCTTTCCTTGCTGTACTATTATCTCCGCCTCGGTGAACTTGGTGTGGTGCTGATATAGAACCCTTACTCTATGGTGTGCTGTCGTCGTAGCAGTTTCCTAGCCAGTGTGTCTGGCAACTGCCTTACTTGTGTGTGAGATATTTATTCCCCTTGCCCTCACGTTGGCAGGTTGCCGTCTGTCACTTACCATAGGTACTGAGCAAATCGCATTCTGTGTGTGCCATGACATGAAAAGAGCTGGGCGATTCCTATCTAGAGGGCAGCAGTACTGGGGTGGAGTCAGAATCCTAGAGCCTTTGTTTCAGAAGTATCCCTTCTCAAAGTCCAAAACAGGGTCTGGTTGGAATGATAAACTCTAGCATATACTTCTGTATAAAAATTAAAATATTATATTTAAAGCCCCTTAAACATATATACCCAGAAAATATGTTGAAATAAATGGCATTCTAGAGTTGAAGGTCGTAGACTATGAAGACTTGGGACAATTTACCTAGCGTCTATGAACTCAGCTTCCTCATCTGTACATGAGGGTGACACTTGTGTCGACCTCAGCGGGTTGTTGGGAGGATTAAATGGTACAAGACTTGGGAAGTTGTGGGAACAGTGCCTGGCACATAGAAAGCACTCAGTAGTCATCTGTCATTGTTCCCCTTCTACCCACTGAGGAATCCCTTCTGTAGCGTACCTGCAGGTGGTCATGTGGGTTCTAGATGACGATGTCATTGTTCCCCTTCCCTACCCACTGAGGAATCCCTTCTATAGCGTACCTGCAGGTGGTCACGTGGGTTCTAGATGACGATGTCATTGTTCCCCTTCCCACTGAGGAATCTCTTCTATAGCATATCTGCAGGTGGTCACGTGGGGTTCTAGATGACGATGTCATTGTTCCCCTTCCTACCCACACTGAGGAATCCCTTCTGTAGCGCACCTGCAGGTGGTCACATGGGTTCTAGATGACAATCTCATTGTTCCCCTTCCCACTGAGGAATCTCTTCTATAGCATATCTGCAGGTGGTCACATGGGTTCTAGATGATGATGTCATTGTTCCCCTTCCCACTGGGGAATCTCTTCTGTAGCGTACCTGCAGGTGGTCACGTGGGGTTCTGGAGAAGACGTCTTAGTGTCCATCACCACTAGCTTCCCAAATGGAAGCAGGTGGTTCTAATTTCCGTTCATCTTCAGAAACTTCACACTGTTGTTTCAGCTGTAGATTTGCTTGGTATCAGATATCACTGGCCCTTTATTCCTGAACTGTTAATGATAAGCTCTGACTACCAGTGACCAGGACTGTTGGTCTTAGAATCAGAAAATTAAGTTTCAGGATGACCTTTGTAGTTCAGTTGTCTTGAAGATGAGATTCACAGGATAGTCGGAAGAAAATACGAGTGCTTCTATTTAATTTTTAAAAAACTGTTAAAACTTTATATTTCATATTTATTTTATAATATGCATAATTTATAAAAAGTTGCATATAACTTATAAATTCACATTAGAGAGCTTTCCTAGTTTTTTTAACTTCGGGTTTACAGATGATCTGAAGTTTGGAAACTATTGATCTCTAGTCTGCTCTTATTTTATACTTGAGGAATGTCTCCTGAGAGCCTGCAGTGTGCAAGGCTAACCCGAGCACAGTGAAATGACTAGCTCAAGCCCAGCCCAGAGGGCAGAAGGGCTTAATTCACTTTTTTTTCTTTCGGTGTTAATTGGTTGTTGGTTAAATTGGGACATTAGAACAGTGATACATGCCTTAAACTGCAATTTATAAATACATGTTTATTTACCACTTCTTTTTAAATATAGGAAAAGGCTTATTTTTTAGTATGACTCACTGGTTGGAATTTTTGCATAATGTGTACCCAGAAGGCTTTGTCTACAATTTTCAGTTTCAGTTTCTTTGAAGTGGAGTGAAAAAAAAAAATAGTTTCAAAACAATTTGAGTGCAGAGTCCTCCCAGGTTTTAAGAGTTTTTCCACCTCAGTCTGTATACTTAAAAGTCATCAGTTAGCACAACATTTAAACTATCCTTACAATAATAAATCCAGCTGGGATGAGCAAACTTGAGGCCAAACACCACTGACCTGTGGTGAAGAGACAAAACATAGGGCTCAACTGGTGGGAGGAGCTCTCAGCTGCGCTGGAGAGTGGTCTGTCCCAGCAGCCAGCAGCCAGCAGTCAGCATGTGGGACATCCATCATCATGTCAGAGAACTTGCTTAAACCAGGGAGCTCGAGAGGACCTGTCCATCTGGGAGTGGGTTCAATGAGGGTTGCTAAAGAGAGTTCTGTTCTCTTTTACTCTGCCCACTTGGCCTCTCAGGCCCTAGAGTTAGGTCAACACCAAGTGCCCCTCCGCCCTGTGGATCATGTAAATCACACGTGGAAGTTCCTTGGGTGTGAATTCTTTGCCCCTTATTTGGCTTTGTATATATTTATAAATTTAAAAATTAATATTATTTTTTAAAATGTTAAACATTCTTAAACTTGCAGAAAAGTTGCAAGTATAGGAAAAAACTTTTCCCTGAACCATTTGAGGGTAAATTGCTGCCCTAATGCCCCTTCAACTTTGACACTTGAGTGTATATTTCCCACATACAAGGACATCTTCATAACCACAGTTCACCAACCAAAACGAGGGCATATATAGTATACATTGCTAACATCTAGTCCTCAGATCCCATTCAAGATTTGCCAGGGTCTCCATAATGTACACACACACCCTCACACACATATATGTGTATATATGTCTATGTATATATAACATATATAATATTTAAAAACATTTCTCTGAACGGGAGTTATAACCAGCTTTATTTTTACTTCATACATTTAAAATACTTGTTTGTTCATTTAGTGCAGTGATGGCGAACCTTTTGAGCTCGGCGTGTCAGCATTTTGAAAAACCCTAACTTAACTCTGGTGCCGTGTCACATATAGAAATTTTTTGATATTTGCAACCATAGTAAAACCAAGACTTATATTTTTGATATTTATTTTATATATTTAAATGCCATTTAACAAAGAAGAATCAACCAAAAGAATGAGTTCGCGTGTCACCTCTGACACGTGTGTCATAGGTTCGCCATCACTGATTTAGTGCCTTGGTCAACTAGCTCTTTTTAAAAAAGATAGTGTCAGTCTGTGGTACATGAGAATTTTTTCTGTGCTAGTAGCCCTTTAGAATAGAATATAAAAAAGAGTCTAGCTGGGTTTATTAAGTATTTATTGAGCTTCTATTATATCTCAGGCTCATAGCCACAGGATCATGGTGAAGTATCCTTAAATATCTCATATTTTCTTCCTTTTTATTAAAAACACCACCAAAATATAAATAAGAAAAACAGTAAAATCTTATGAAGTTTTATTTACATACTGTGAACACCAGGTTTTATTTTAAGTAGTAGTTTCTCTTTATGATGATAAGAGAATAGTTGTAGGGAATAAGGAAAGGAAGACCATTTCCTGAGAAAATTCACTTCATTATTTATACATATAGGAGTTTAGATAAGACTGGATTTAAACTCTTTTGTTTTAATAAATATGCCCAAGAAGCCATGAGCCAGATGGACACCACACAGTTGTGGGGCACAGTTTCAGTGTGTCTGAGACAGAGTTCTGCCTTCTATCCCTGGTGTCTTCCACCTAGAGATGTTCAGAAAGGGTCCTTGTGGGTGGGGATTCCAGTCCCTGTGAGCCACAGTGCTCAGTCCTGGTTTATACTTTCTAGGGCTTCAGAAGCTCGGGAATCGGCCCGGGAAGTTCCTAGACAAGTGGCTTCTCACAGGAAGGGGCAGGGCTACTTCATGGCTTGGCACCTTGCTTGGAATTCACACTAGGCTTTACGATGAGTCTGTCTCTGGCAGTCCTTCCCTGTGAGTCACACACTGTTCCCTTCATCAGCACTGCTCTGTGAGAGCCACTGTGCTGGGCATGGATGAAGATGACCCAGACACAGGCCCCTCTCTCTGAGGGCTACTGCCAGGAAACAAGAAAGCACAGTGACATGTTCTAGGTGCTGCGTTTGAATCGTGTGTGTGAAGGAGATGCTACAGGTCCAAACCTAACAAAAGGCCTCTTTGAGGACATTGTGAAGCAGTGGTTCTCAACCTTCTGGCCCTTTAAATACAGTTCCTCATGTTGTGACCCAACCATAAAATTATTTTCATTGCTACTTCATAACTGTAATGTTGCTACTGTTATGAATCGTAATGTAAATATCTGATATGCAGGATAGTCTTAGGCGACCCCTGTGAAAGGGTCGTTCGACTGCCAAAGGGGTTGCGACCCACAGGTTGAGAACCGCTGCTGTGAAGCCTTTGTTTGCATGAAGACACCTAGACATGGGTGATGAGGGGAGAGTAAGGGCAGAAAGACATGTGAGTAGTGACAGATATTTCTTTAAAGGTACGGTCTTGTAGTAGCCTCGCTTGACATCGCTCACCGCATTAGTCACTAGTATTGACTTGGTTAGCCTGCTAGTTAGAAAGATTTCCTTTCTCTGTTCCCTGTTCTGTATGCATTCTTCATCTCACGTGATTTTCCCAATGAATCTGCTTTCTGGCAGGTCACTTAGCCTTGATGAGGCAGGTTCTTCAAGTGTAGAGTGAGAGTAAGGAGTCTCCCTTGGCTGCCCACAGGGTTGGTGGGAGGGTCAAGTGAGGCAATGCATGATCTGTTAGAGTGCACAGAGTGCTCTCGTGTGTGAACAGTCTTCTTTCTGTTATCATTTTTTCTCAAAAAATTTTAACTTCCTTCTTTAAAGTGCATTTAGATGTATGTAATTTAATGCATGTAACAGGTAAAAGTAGGCCGGCACCTAATTAGGTATCTAATGGTACAAATTATAGCCATGTCTGTTATTTTTCCAGTTTAGGAACATAATTGATATTTAAGTAAAAACTTTTGTAAGATCTAATTTCTGTTTCAGCAGTTAGAAAATTCTTATTCATGCGATCTGTTAAAGGGATGCTCTTTAGTTTGCCTTTAGTTGAACTAGGAATTATGTACTTATTTTTCAGCTTTGTCTTTATAGGATCTTCAATGACTTGCTGCTGTGGGAACCAACAGCTCCTTCACCAGTGGAGACTTTTGAAAATATTTCGTATGGTATTGGGCTGTCAGTAGCCAGTCAACTGATCAATACCTTCAACAAGGACAGTTTTAGTCCTTTTAAATCTACAGTTCACTATGGTAATATGTCTTAAATTTGTTTGGATGTCACTGCCTAGTTTAGCAATAAAGTAGTAGCCTTTTCAGTTGATGGATTAAAAAATGTTTCTTTGATCATGTTTTTCATTTATATTTTATAATATCTTTTAGAAATTTATATTTCCCCACTTCTCTCTGCATATTGAGAATGTTGTTATTAATTAATGATAATATCTTTATAATGATAGTATATGCATTGTCTGAAGTCCAGTGGTAAAGTGAAAAAACACAGCATGGACATTTTTATTGTCAGACCAGATTCTGAGTAAAAAGGAACAGGTTGTAAAATAAATTTTCTTATGATAATGTTCAGGTTGCTAGTTTTTTAAAGAAGCAGTCAGAACCATGTGATTGTGACCCTTATTTCTCACAGATGAGGAAAGTGGATCAGAGGAGGAGACTTTGCAGTATTTTTCTACTCTTGATCCCAACTATCGTTCCCGTAGGAAAAAAAAACTCGACTCTCAGAATAAGAACTCGCAGAGTTTTCTCTCCGTTCTTCTGAGTATTAATCACGGATTAATGTCAGTGTATACAGACGTAAAGGTAAAGATTTACAAATATCAAGTGTTCCTTCAAGTGCACCTTATTTAAATCTGCCACGATACACATCCTGTAATTGAGGGATCTGGGAGTAGTGTCAGCCACTGAAGAAGCCCGCTTTCTGAGGCAGGTCACGATGACAGCAACTCTGGAAAGCTGCCTTTCGTGCAGCTCAGAAGGCAAACGTTATCTACACCTTCTTGTGGGAAACATGCTTGTTCTGCTCCCGAGATGATAACTAGTCATTTGTCCATTGGAAGGAGGCGGAGTCCAGGGGCTCTTTGACAGAAGAGGCTCCATGTACTTGTTCAGTTTTTCACATCACCATGTCAGGTGTCTTAAGAGTCAGGCCACTTGGCTGCAACCTGAGAGATTCTGTCCCAGGGCTTCTGCATTAAATAATGACATCTGTGTTTTCCCATCTTTTTATTAGCAAGAGAATGGAGATCTTTTGGAAAACAAGCATGGTGAATTCTGGGTAGAGTTCAGTAGTGGCACGTTATTTTGTGTGACAAAATATGAAGGTTTCGATGACAAGCACTACATCTGCCTTCATTCCAGCACCTTCAGTCTGTACCACAAAGGTAGGACAAATGTTAAGTATGTATGTGTTTCATTTCTGTTTAGACATCTTCAAATTTTGTTTATTAATGAAAATCTATTGAGAACACAACTCTGATATTAGAAATGATTTCTGTGGGGTGTTCTGATTCCACTGGCAAAGTAATACTTATTGTGAATTAGAAGTTGACTGTTCTTTTTTGCAATATGATATAATTCACATATCATATGCAATTCACCCATTTAAAGTATACATTTCAGTAGTTTTTAATATTTCAAAGAGTTGTATAACCATAATCACAATAAACTTTAGAACATTTTCCTTACCCCCAAAGGAAACTGAACTCTTTAGCTAGAACCCCCCCAAAAGCCTCCCATCTCCCTGCCCTGAGCAACCACTACTCCACTTTGTCTCTATGGTTCTATTCCTGATGTTATCTATGGACTGAATCATACAATATATGATTAGCATGTACTGTGACTGGTATTATGTTTTCAACATTTATTGAGGTGTATCAGTATTTCATTCATTTTATTGCCAAATGATACTCCATTTTGTGGATGTACCATATCTTATTATCTATTTTTGATCAGTTGATGGGATTTTGCATTCTTTATTCTCAAGCAGTATTTCCTTTTGGTAACAGACACAGAATTTACCATCCTTTGAGCACATTTCCTGTGTTCCCTTGTAAATAGACATGAGATACTTATACATTCTTTTTTAAAAAATATATTTTTATTGATTTCAAAGAGGAAGGGAGAGGGAGAGAGATATAGAAACATCAATGATGAGAGAGAATCATTGATCAGTTACCTCCTGCATGCCCCCTACTGGGGATCGAGCCCGCAACCCAGGCATATGCCCTTGACCGGAATCTAACCCAGGACCCTTCAGTCCGCAGGCCAACGCTCTATTCACTGAGCCAAACCAGCTAGGGCACTTGTACATTCTTAACGTTTACCAGATTTTCCCATTTAAGTTTAATTATCCTAGCATTTTAAAGCTTAATTTTTTTGAAGTTGGGTACTATCAGGTATATGAACATTAGTGTAGAGGGATGGGTTATTAATGCCAAGTCGGTTCTTGCTCATTTTGCCACCAGAATCATGTTGTATTCAGTGGAAGTACATGGCTTTTGTTTTCAGTTACAGAAGTCCGTGAGCTAATTTCAAGTAATCATTTTGTTATGTTTTCACTTTCCTTTGGATGTAGGCATAGTGGATGGAGTGATTCTTCCTACAGAAGTACGGCTGCCCAGTGCCACACACCCACACTGGTTGGAACCTACCATTTATTGCTCTGAAGAAAATGGCCTCAGTAGAGCTTCTTCAGAGGGTGTTGGAGGAGACACGTTGAATATGCTCTCTGCTGCTGTTAAAATACTGTCTGATAAATCAGAGTCCAATACAAAGGTCTGTATTTTATACTTTTATACCAAGTACTTGCCATTGGTTTGATTACTCGCTAAAATGATTGCATAAAAGGCAACACATTTATTTTGTTGGGAAGACTTCAATTTTTGAACTAGAGGGCGTGCAGGTGGTAAGTGTAACTCTCTGTGCTGCTGTTTAGGAATTTCTCATTGCTGTGGGGCTGAAAGGAGCCACTCTCCAGCACAGAGTACTCCCTTCCGGGCTGAGCTGGCACGAGCAGGTAAGAAGCTGTGTGTATGAGGCAGTCTTTTTTATTTTATATTGGCATATGCGTACCGAAAATTTCACAAACCACAAATGTTCAGCTCAGTGAATTATCACGAAGCAAACACTCCTGCATAACCACCTTTTAGGTTGGGAAATAGAACATTGTCAGCACTCCAGAATATGATTGATCTTTTACCTCAGAGTTTGGTCCCTAAACATTTCAAACACAGAGTTATCCTTTATGTCATTAAAGGGAAGGGATCCTTCATCCCAGGACCTGTAGAGCGCCTGGCACATGGAGCAATAAAGGATGTGTGGACTTGCACGTATAACCATGTGTCCTTTAAGTGCCATAATTTTAGAATTATTCTCTAAGCCAATAACATGGCTTGAGGCATTTATAAGAATTTCTGTAATTAATTTCCAGTTTAATAATTGTATATGCTTAATGAAATATAGTTGATTATTTTTTTCACAGGAAACTTTGGGTGAGAAGTTAACTCTATGTGAGAATAAAAAATAGTGTACTGATTCTTGTTCATTTTTTTTAGAAAGGGGAACTTTTTTGTGTGCTGGGAAAATAATAAATTATTTAAAACTTGAATGTTTTTAGAAGACTTTTTTAATAAAAGCATATAGGAAATAAGATAGTCTATCTACCTATCTATGTATAGAAACATGAGGAGATATTATTTAGAATATGTATATCTATATCTGTTTATCTATATCTGTAAAGTCGGGGTAGAGAAATGGTTAGTATGAGCACTGAAGTGGCTATAAGGGAGAGATTTAGCCTCACCTCCTATATTTCTTAGATTAGAAATATGTGAGGAAAGATGTTAGTGAGAGGGACTGGTTTTCAGATTCAGCTATAAATTAAGGATAAAGAACTTCTCATAGCAATGGATTATTTAGAAAACCAAATGGGACAGTTTTATTTTTATTTTTTTATTTTTTAAATATATACTTCATTGATTTTTTACAGAGAGGAAGGGAGAGGGATAAAGAGTCAGAAACATCGATGAGAGAGAAACATCAATCAGCTGCCTCCAGCACACTTCCCACTGGGGATGTGCCCGCAACCAAGGTACATGCCCTTGACCAGAATCGAACCTGGGACCCTTGAGTCCGCAGGCTGACGCTCTATCCACTGAGCCAAACCGGTCAGGGCCAGATGGGACAGTTTTAAGCAGTCTTTAGGAAAACAAATTTTTTTCAAGACCTGTTCCGAACAAAATAATGTGAAAGCAATTTATACATACTTTATTAGTTTCATAAGATATGATCTTCCTAAGATTTCTGTAGCATTGCTGTTGTTGGATGGGCCTTTTTAGTAAAAGGCGAAAGATTTATACGATCTGAAGAGAAACCAGAGTATGGATGGACCTTTTTATTTCAAATTCTAGTTTTGAATTTTTTTCTTCTAAAGCAGGGAATTTTATATTTTTGTGATTATAGATTTTATACTTCCTGAACATTGCTGATGAACCTGTTCTGGGATATAATCCTCCAACTTCGCTTACAACTTTTCATGTTCATCTCTGGAGCTGTGCACTTGATTATAGGTTAGTTCATAAATGAGACAAAATAAAATTTTATTTAAAATATGTACTAAGTTTTGGGGAAAATGCATAATTCAGTAGAATTAAGTTTCAAAATGCTCCCCCCCCCCACACACACACAAATGCTCTTTAAGAGGAGTTTCTGTTGTTGCAGCAGACTGATGTTCTGAAATTTCTTTTTGGTGGTAGGCCTCTTTACTTGCCAATCCGATCTCTTCTTACTGTTGAGACATTCAGCATTTCAAGTAGTGTTGCCTTGGATAAATCGTCTTCTACGCTCAGGTACCTGTGTGAACTTCTTTGTACACTAAATGCAGCTGTTCAAAACATCCTGACTGTTTTATCTAAACCCTTTGATTAGATTCTCAATTTTTTGTTAAAATCAGCATTGTTTTACTAATAGTCATGTCCCTTCTCCCCGTTTTCAGTTTTTTCTCAGATGATTCGTCCCACCTTTTCTTTTCTTTCTTTTTTGTTAATCCTCACCCAAGGATATTTTCCCACTGATTTTTAGAGAGAGTGGGAGAGAGAGGGAAAGACAGAGAGAAATATTGTGTGAGAGAAGCACATTGATTGGTTGTCTCCTGCACAAGCCCTGACTAGGGCCTAAGCTGGGGAGAAGCCTGCAACCAAAGTTTTGTGCCCTTGACCAGAATCGAACCCAGGACCCTTTGGTCCGCAGGCCGATGCTCTATCCACTGAGCCAAACTGGCTAGGTAGGGCTCGTCCCACCTTTTCTATTCACTACTCTCTTTCATTTTTAGGGAGGAAATAATTCTCGAGATTGTTAGTTTAATTTTAAAGTAGATATATAAACTTCCCATAATACCTGGTACACTTCATTTTCATAATTTAAAGCTTGTGAATTTGGACATATATTAAAAAATTCAGAATTAATTTGAGCAGATGATTTAATCCCATTCTTTACACCATTTAAATATTTCTGGCACCGATTTTTAAAAAAACATGACATGACATTTATAAGTTAGAAGCTGCATATGACTTTGATAATATTTATGGCAGAAAGAATGATACAACTAACATATATAGTGATCAAGTGTATATATTTGAGGTTAGTGTTTTAGATATTGACTTTATCTTTTTTCCCCTCAGAATAATCTTGGATGAAGCTGCTTTACATCTGTCTGACAAGTGTAACACTGTCACTGTAAATCTGAATAGAGGTAACAGTGAAAAAGCAAAATCTGGAATAGAGGAATGCTTTTTTATTTTTATTTTTTGTGTGTGACTTTTTTAAAGCATTTAACGTTGGAAAAATGCCAGTGAACTAAGGATTTTATTAAATATCAGTTTGAAGTTGTAATGTCCTTAAGTGCATCAAATTATATATACTCTAATATAAGACAAGTTTTGTTTCTAACTAAAATAAGTTATAGGATTTTTGTAGGATGAACTATATTTCTGTTACATTAGAAATATTTTTAGCACTGCCTGCCATGAATTGTAGAGATGCTAGTTTTATTAGGTGTTGGGTAAGCATTTTTAAAAAGCTATACTCAAACATGTTGTTAATTCCTTTTTAAAACTTTAGATTATGTTCGTGTGATGGATATGGGGCTTTTAGAATTAACCATAACTGCAGTGAAGTCTGATTCTGATGGAGAGAAAGTAAGTTATTAAAATAATTGGAAGTTTTAGTTGTCTTGTTTTTATAGGAGGGACTGAAAGAGCATTGACTTTGTTGTAGAGTTATTTTTTCACTTACCCTAATTTTGGTAAAAAATAGATACAATATTTTAAAATGAAGACTGAGTTATAAGTACACATTTCCTTTGATAAGACAAATTGTTATATTTTATTTAATGTAAAACTATACAAAAAAGGAAAATTTGGCCTCTTGTTTGGAAAACATTTCATCCTTTTTTCCTGTGCTGTGTCCAGACTGACTCACGCTTTGAGTTACACTGTTCCAGCGACGTTGTGCACATCAGAACGTGCTCAGACTCCTGTGCTGCTTTAATGAATCTCATTCAGTACATTGCAAGCTATGGCGACTTACATGCAGCCAACAAGACGGAGGTGAAGGCAGGAGCCCCTCAGAGAAAGACCACGGTACAGTCGGCAACGCCATTTGTTAGAACCAACTCCCTCTGCCCCATTCCAGCCTCACGAATGACATGTTTACATCAGCAAGGCCTTCACGACAGGCATAAGGCAGAAAAGAAACGGAAAGTCATCTATCTATTCGCTACCTTCAGAGGATGGGGCTTCCATGGACTTTTTTGGAAAATTGATATTGTTTGTTTCAGAACATTATTAATCTTCTCAACCAACATGACACTTTTTAAAAAAAAATATATTTTATTGATTTTTTACAGAGAGGAAGGGAGAGGGATAGAGAGTCAGAAACATCGATGAGAGAGAAACATCGATCAGCTGCCTCCAGCACACTCCCCACTGGGGATGTGCCCGCAACCAATGTACATGCCCTTGACCGGAATCGAACCCGGGACCCTTGAGTCTGCAGGCCGATGCTCTATCCACTGAGCCAAACCGGCCAGGGCAACATGACACTTTTTTTAAACTTGTTATTTTCATCTGTCCTGGGGAGAGAAAGAAAACATTTGTCATGTAAGAGCTTGTTATATGCAAGCATGTCAAAAATGCTATGAGAAAACAGATTATTACCAGGAGACTTGCAGCACTTACATAATATCATCTCCCGTGTTGGTTATACTGGAAACGGGGTGGTAGTGTAGATACTTTCTTGGGTGATTTCATTTAACCCAGTGCGATACAGGGGTTCGAGATAATTATCTGTGTTACAGGTGAATACACAAGACCCAGAGAATTGAGGTGATTTGCCATAATTAGTAGCAGAAACAGCCATACAGCTAAGCTCTGTTGGTTCAATGTGCCACCTCTTTGCCCTCTTTTATGTCCAGATTGAACAGTGTCCATATGCCTGGCTTTCTTTATTACCACTGTGTTTTCACACCTCTTCTGTGAACAGAGTTCTCAGCGCCCTTAGGTTAGGAGCCTCTGGAAGGCTGGCTGGCTGGCATTCCTTCCTTCAGGACCACCTCACACTCCTTCATGTTACACTGCCGCTTTGATTCCTTCCTGCTGCGCTGTTCTTACTGCTAATAAGTGACTTACAGCACTCCCTCTACTGTTGACTCTCTTCATGAAACATTCTCCAGTTCATGAAAAGTTAATTTTAAATTGTCCCTTTCAAATGGGATCTTTTCATTTTATTATTATCTTTTACTTTTTTATTGAATTTATTGGGGTGACATTAGTTAATAACATTACATAGGTTTCAGTGTACAATTCTATAATACATCATCTGTATATTGTATTGTGTGTTCATCACCCCAAGTCAAATCTCCTTCATCACCATTTATCTCTCCTTTACCCTATTCTCCCCCCTCCCACCCACGCCCCTTCGCTCTGATAATTGCCATAGGATCTTTCTATTTTAGAGTCTTGCTCACATTTCAAAGCATGGTGTGGATTTAATGATCCACAGCTCGTGGCCCGAAATGGTTAAGTATCAGGGCTGGAATTGAACCCATGAAGCACCCTTTGGGAGAGTTCCCTCTTGTGTATGCCCCCACTGCCCTGATGTGTCTGTTCACTCTAAGAAGTGAGCTGTGAGCCACAATGACTGTCTTGAAGGGCGTGGCAGCCCTGGCAGCCCAGATCAGACTCTACAGAGCGA